AAAAAAAAAAAAAAAAAAAAAAAAAAAGAATTTATTTTTTTTATTAAAAGAAAAATATATATATATAAGTAATATTTATTCGAGCTCGACTAAATTTTTCTTAAAAAAAGAGTAGAGTAATAAAAACTTTAATATTTAAGTAAACAAAAAGAGATGGCTCCACCACAAACGCCTCGTAAAACGAAATTAACTGTTGATATTCCTTCGAGCTATTCAAATACTAGTTGTCCCGATTCTCCTAGTTCTCAATATGTAGCATCTCCTGTATTCACTCCGTCTAGACATTTTGAAGGTTCTGTACCTGCTTCACCAACGTTTTCGGGAACGTTGAATAGTAATAGATCTCAGGCGGAACTTACAGCGTTGCTAAAAGAAGCCTATAATACAATACGAGATAGAGAAAAAGGTAAATTTTTTTTATTATATTCAATTCGTTTATAAAGTGGGAAGGGAAAGTGACTGCTCAATATAATATTATATCATGTGAAATTACCAATTTAATAAAAATATCAAAACTTTTTATTATATTTTAGATCTTACACTTGCCGCCGAAATCGGTAAAAGTCTTCTTGAAAATAACATCGCGTTAAAATCAAAATATGAATCTGCTATAGTTCAATTACAACATCTTCAAAGAGCCAAATCAAAAGCTGCAACTTTCACGATACAAAATGTTGAAAAACATGCCGCCCCTATAGCTCCTCCAAATACTTCTTTAGAAAATATTTCTGAAAATGAATATGATGAAATTAGTGATACTGAATCACTTCAAGGTTGGAGTACTTCTTTCGATTTACCTTCACCATCAAGTGAAGTTCCATTTAAAAGAAAAAGTCCTCGAAATTCTTCGGGTTTAAATTATAAGGACCTTGAAAATATTAAAGAATTAGAGACTCGAAATCAAGAACTTCAACAACATCTTGATGAAGCTATAAGAGAATATAATGATTGTGATAAATCTAATAAATCAAAGATACGTAAACTTGAATCGGATCTTCAACATTATATTGAAGCTTGTACGTTAGCTACTCAAAAAGTGGAAGACCTTGAAAAAGAAAATGATCGTCTTATTCAAAAACAAAAAACTGATTTTTGGAATCTTAAATATACCAAGAAATCAAATGAAAATGAAAATTTTATTGAGACATTATTACATAAAGTTCAAGATTTAGAAGATCAAAATCATCTTATTGAAAAAGCAAAAGTAGAAATTGAACGTCGTTTACAACGTACAACGACTGAATTGGAAACTTTTAAAAAAGAATATAATGATTTATTAGAAACCTCAAAGGATTATGAAAGGTTACAACTTGTAACTCATGAACAACAACAATATATCAATGAACTCAGCGAGAGTCTTGAAGAACAACGTGCTTTGGTCGTAAATTATCGATCTGGTATGTGGTCTGCAAAAACTTCACGGGCAAATTCTATCTCTGATAGTGGTGGTATAATGTCAAATGCATTAAGACGTTTAAGTGATCCTGACGGGATGCGTGCCATGTTTGGTGCTGCTCCAAAACAAAATAATCAAGATAATGGAATTGGTGGAAAGATAAAAAAATCTTTACTATCAGAATTAGAGAATGAATGGTTCCGTGAACTAACGATATTTCAAAGAGATGTAAAAAAAGGAAATGGAAGTGGAGCTTCTTCACCATCTTTCTCACCAATATCTTCAGAGAAGGACCTTAATCAATTCTTTTTAGATAATGGTGCACGACTGGATGATGAAATGGTGGATTACTTATCAGATGATGAATTTAGTTTCTTGGATGAATTCGAAGTAGATAACGAAAAAGCTAACCGATTACGAGAATGGTTTTGGATAAGATGGGCAAGAGCTATATATCTATTCCTAAGAAAGATATGGAGGTGGTGTCGTTTTATCCTCATTCTTGTAGCCGCTGTAATTATGGCACTATACCGTGGACCTGACGATGTCTTGCCCAATGATGTATGAATTTAGGACAATGTTAATAATTTAGATGAACTTTTTTTATTCTTTCCCTACTCCATTTTTTTTTTCTCAAAATTAAACGCCATATAACATAAACATATTTTTCACAATTCAAAAATCAAAGAATAGTTAGAATATATTCTAGAATATTGTTTTACGATTATGTATTATTATTTTTGTTTATTATGTCAAATTTTTTACCTAACCTTTATATTTTTTTTTTTATGAAAGTTTTATATTTTTTTTTCTCGTCATCTATTAAAGGAAGATGAGGTTGTATTATTTTTTAAAAAAAAAAAATCTTAATTTCTTTACTACAGTATATATATTTCTTTTAGGTTTATAGTAGTATTCTTTATTATTGTTGTTTGACTCATTGTTATTTTCTTTTATTTTACAAATTTTTTAAAAAAAAAACGAAGGAAAAAAAAATAAAAAATAAAAAGCGTGAAGAAAAAAGCATATTCTTCTCACATGTACAAAATTCGTCTAAATAGTATAAATTTGATGCAACGTTCCAAGTAATAAATACCAAATAGTATAAAATTGCACCAAGTATGGGTAGTAACATACTGAACATACTGGATGTTAACATGATAATAACATGATAATACTTGATTAACATGATGATATAATAATAAAGATAAACATATTCTATTTAACATATCGAATTCACATGATTGGAATTTTTTATAATTTATATTAACTTTGGCCAAAATTAATATTTTAGCTGAAACCTTTTCATGTGAGTTTTGGCCAAATTTTCAAACTTAATTTAAGCAAAAACATGATAAAAAATCAACTCTAAATTTGGCCAAAACTATAAAATAATTCTTTAGAGTTTTGGCCAAATTCTAATATAACTATTACATTAAAGATTGTGAAAATGTCCAAACTATAGTTAGGCCTTTAGGAGTTTTGGTTACAAGTATTGGTGAAATTTGCTGAGCTACACTTAGCAAATTATATTAATGATTATATTCTTATTGCAAATACATATAAGGCATAGTATTACAATTATAAGTAAGGTTGCTATTGAAAAAATTAGAGAGTTTTAGTAAGTTGTCAAATACTAAAATAGTAAAACTTTGCCAAAACTATATAAAAGTTTTATTAAAAAAAATTGGTAAAACTCTGAAAAAAAGCAAAACCTAACAAAACTTATTATAAATGCTGAAACTGCTGAAACTTTACCAAAATTACAATAAAACTATAGTAAAATCTTGGAAAAACTAATCATAGAATTTTAGAGAGATTTAAGTAAGTAATTTTAATTATAAAATTATATTTTACTGAATAACTGTTTTATCAGGCTTATATAATAGGTATTTTTTTTTTATACAACTTAATAACTGATTATACTAATATAAATTACCAATTAGTAAATATCTAATAAAATATATATATTGAACTTATTATTGTAAACTTATAAAATTTAATATATAAAAAAAAATTTATATATTAAACTTCTACTAAACTTATACTTCTTAACTATAAATTCAATTTAATTGTATAAATATTTTATTTAATATTAAATAGTTATTAGATATAAAAAAAATAAAAATATTGGTTAAAAAGTAAAACTAATATTATTTTATCTAATAATTAAAATTTAAAAAATATTATAATAATTAATACTACTAATACTTATTTTAATATTGTTATTAAAATTCTATATCTAGTATATTTACCTCCTATTTTACCTATAACAAATACTTAATATAAAAGAATCCTTCCATTTTTAGCAATAACTGGACTCTTAATTACAAATATAGAATTTAATATACATCAATTATACTAAATTAAACAGAAACTTTATTATTTAATAAAAAATACTGGAATTTATTAATTAGATAAAATATAGAAACTAAATTTTATTATTTAATTTATAAATAATTAGCAATATTTCTAATTATAGTAATAATATGATACTAAAGAACTGAATATAAAAAAAACTAAATAAAGTACTTGCAAATAAAAACTTTCTATTTTTTTAAATATATTTACAATTTTATTAACAGATTAATATAATATAAAATTTCAATATTTAAAGAAACTTTTAAATAATATTGCTATTTGTTTAATATATTTTATATTAAAAAATTAAATGTTATTTCAATTTATATCAGATATTACTTAAAATTTTTTTTTAAATTTCTTACTTGACTTATATATACTATTCAAATTACTTTAGATTACCATAATTATAAATAAAATCTTAAGTTCAATTATTTAATTCATTTTTATTATAAATTTAGTTAATTTAAAGTATTTTTATTAACAAAAAATAGGTCATCTAAATCGTTAATAAAAATGTCTTTTATATTCCATTTAACTTTATTATTTAATATAGGATATATTCTATTTAATAAAAATTTATCAATAATATTTATAACATTATTACAATATAAATCAGTTGTAGTATTTAACTTTGCTTTTTTTCCTGTAATAATAATTGCTTCCATGTATTAATTAAATTATTTCAATTTAATAAAACCTGAAATTCACTATTTTTACTTTCTTTATCTGAATCATTATTCTGAGTATTAGAATTTTCTTTTTAGATTTCTAAGTTAATAGGATTTTTTTCTTGATTCTCTAAATTCGTATTACTATTACTATTTATAATAATTATAAAAACTATCAGTTTAGCAATATTTTCTTTTATTTTTTGTTGTTGAATAGTTTTCACTTTATCAACTCTATATTTATATATATATTTTTTTTCTGCAACACATAATTTTTTATTAAGATTTTATATAAAAAGTTAATACAATACATGTAAAACTAATCAAAAATCCTAAGTAAACATTAAGAACTATACCATTTGCTAACTCACAGTGAAGTAACCATGTGTGCATTATTAGTAAAGGACTTAAGTTAGGGAAGTAAATCTAACTTAAAGGTATTCTTTTTTAAATAGGTATTCCTTCTTTTGGTCTACACTATGAGTGCTTCCAAAGACTCACTACTACTGCAGATAAAACTCAAACTCAAACAAAAAAAAAATAAAAGGAGCAATAATAGAAAAGTCAGGGTAAAAAAAAAATCAAAATAGGGTTAATTAAAAAAATATTAGTATTCTACAAATACGAAGTCCCACTATAGTGTTCCATTCACCTTACCTATAGTTCACCAAGCTTGAGTAGTCATTCTATCAATTCTTAAGTCTTTATAGTAATAATTTAATTTTTGCCAATAAAGTAAGTTTATCAGATTCATTACCATTTAAACTTTTCTTCATATTCCTGATAGTTTTAGAAATATTTTCTTTCTGGAAGGATTGCTCTTTTTATTCTTGTTATCTGTAATAGTTGGTCTAACCTTGTGAACTATGTTTTAGTTCTGCTTCTGATTATGGCCATTTTTCTTTATTGATCAATTACAACATTAATAAAGTTGAGAGGAAAAATACTAGTTAGATCCTTCAGTTCTTTGGCCACTTAAACTTTGGAGACATTATAGTAAATCTTTATATATTTAGATTATTAAAAAGTATCCAGATAGATCCGTTAAGATATCCGGATAATCTTCAATCTATCATTACAGATATCTGGATTGTATTTTATTAGACAGATCAGTTTAACGGGTGATAGATATTAAATGGATCAGATTGACAGATAACGGATTATTTGTAGATTGAAGCTCTAACCCTATAAAAAGTATTTATATTTTTTTTTTTTTTGCAAGGTAGTGCAATTCATGAGTTTATTAGTTATATGAAATTACAGGATTGTCTGCTAAGTGTATAACTAATCTATTAAAACTCTGAACCAGTTCCCCATCCTATAGATTGCTCCTGTGCCCTACCATCACCAATATAAAATTCACCTATATCCTCCTATAGTAGCTATCAGATTATATAGGATCATTATTATCATATGGCTTCAGTATGTGCTTTCACTACCCTCTAAACAAAAAGAAGAATTATATTTGTATTTGTACATTTTGATATTATTATATACCTTCCAAATCACCCTATTTCCTTCTCTGATAAATTGATCTATATATTGTCTAGTTTTTCCAAGAGCAATTGACCATTGTTCACTATGTTTAAGAATTTTCCTTCCCTTTAAGTCATATGTAGCACCATCTATTTGTTGAGTTGGGGTTCGTTCATATGTAATACGTTGATGTGCTGGTATTTTCTTTCTTAAGTCTTGCTTCTTGATTCCTTTTATGCGTTCCTATTCTGTTATTAAGTTGCATCGTGGTTGCCAAATAATTCTATAAAATTCATTAACAAATATTTCTAAAAGGAGGGTAGTAATTGTTAGTGTAGCTTTTTCTGACTTAACAATAAGCTTGATTTCTCTATATTTTTCTTTTGGAAAGAAATTCTTTATCATTAATTGTGCATGGGGAATAGGTAACTCTTGATTTGAATCTGTTGTTTGAACAAAAAATTTTCTATTCCACAAAAGTAATTGTTGTGTGTCCTCTTGATTTAGTTGGAGGTATTTCTCTTGTGATAGCAAGTCTTTAAGCA